TAGTGAGCATGCCTGCACTTCCGGGGAGGATAGATGGGAAGAAAAGACATAACTAATATGATACTGCAAAAGAATTTTGACTTCCTCCTGGCTGGGAGTGTGTAGGTATGGAATATCATAGAAGAAGCAGTATTTTTAGGGGAGAAGCAGGTTTCAGAGAAGAAACATGTAGAGGGGCCCTGTGCAAAGATGGATCGTGTAAGATAAATGTTCACAATGGAAAAGAAATGTGTTGGGTACAGTTGAAAGGGGTTAGACAGATCTAGGCTAAGAAATAAAGTCTCTTAATGGGGTAAGATCATTGGAGAAAAGTAATTATGGGAGCTTCCTGTTCTCTGGGTGATCAAGAATAATGGAGGCAAGGAATGTGGTTACAAGGGCCAGGTCTCAAGTATTTGGATGGTACATGCCCTTTTCTGGTCAGCATTGTTTCAGAGGTCTAGGCAGTGCGAGGCATGGTCTGAGAGGATACGCCTGGTCTGGTTTTGTGTAGGAGGTATGTGACAGCTGCCATGAGTAGTGTCCGAATGCCACCAGGAGCTCTGGGCTCCCTGGAAAGAGGTAGGCCCTTCCTGGCCCTGTGGTAGTTATGTAGATAGGGCTGTTGGGTGCCCATGACCCAGCATTCAGTGGGAAGGAGCCCAGAGGGTGCCGCAGGATTTTTTGGTCATCTCCTTAAGGCCTGGAGGAGCAGCTTCCTTACTCAGCCCGTTGACATAATTGCCATCACATTAATTACTCATCGCATGCCACATCTTAATTTACAACTTCATAAATTACATGTAAGATATAAGAGTCCTTCCCTGGCCAGTTTGGCTCAGTAGTTACAGCGTCAGCCCATGGACCAAAAGGTCTAGGGTTCGATTCCAGGTCAAGGGCATGTACCTTGGTTTCAGGTTTGATCCCCAGCCCCATGTGGCAATTGCTGGAGGCAACCAATCAATGTGTGTCTCTCCTTCCTCTCTCCCTTCCACTCTGTCTGAAAATCAGTGGAAAAAATATCCTCCGGTGAGGCTTAAAAAAACACACCACAAAAAAGATATAAGAATCCTATCCTTAGTAAGCCTTAGGCACTTACCTTACTTCTTGATTATGACTTTAAAAAACTTACGTAGAAATGTATTAACACCAGTGAATATTGACAGTATATTTTGAGAAAAGCTCTTCTTTAGTATTTAGCCCCTTTAAAGGCCTGGTATGTATTCACAGGGCTCTCCATGAAGGGGCTGTGCAGGG